CTCTACACCCATGTCCAGCCTCTGAGACCATGGATTGTTTTTGTGAATTGTGACCTGCAGGTGCTACTTACAAGGTCACCTGTGATTACTTCTGTTTCATAGAAATGACTATGATCACTGTGTAATGACCAAAGACATGGTCAAGATCATTTGTACCCAGAATTTGTATCTGACATAGTTGGTTACTGTATGTGGTTCACATGCAGAATTCTGTGATTATAGGCATCATTAACCTGTATTGTGTAAGTGCGTGACTAATACAAACGCCTCTTGAATGGCTTCACATTGCTCACAAGCATAGCCTGCTTCCTCAGACATGAAAAAAGTAAACACGTTCTTCATCAACCAGGTGTGCTATCAGTAATTAATCATTGCCATTGCGTCTTTGGGATTCAGATAAAGGTGGAAGGAAACAGAGGTCGCACTTTGCAGAGTAATATGCAGCCTCAGTATATCAATTGAAGTGACCCCCAATTCTGTTACATTCCTTTCTTCCTTGCTTGGCCATCAGTTCTGAGTTTCCACACATTCCTATCCAATTCTTCCACGCAAGTCCTCATCTCACCCATTTAACCCGATTCTTATCTCGTCATTAAAATCTTGGGTGGAAAATCACACTTCTTTTCCCTTGATGTTGAAAATCTCATTTTTCTTTTCTCACCATCTTTTACCATTGCCTATCTCATTCAGGACTTGGCAGATTCTGCCCACTTTTAATGGAAACTATCATGTTGGCTGTCAAACTGTAATTACGCTCATCTCCCAGATGGAGCACTAATGTGTTATCACTGGCTTGGCAGTAGAATTTAGTGCAACAATTTATGTTATTGACTCAATTAAAAACAGATATGGATTTATTACAGGAAAAGAACTAATAATAAAAATAAAAACAAAGGTATAATGCAATACTTTAAAATGAAGACTAAATTACATTTGGTTAAATTATCACCAATTCATTTATCGTCATAGAATGATAAAACACAGAGGGAGGTCATGTCATTAGATTTATGCCTGGACGTACACTCCAAAGATGGGAAACTGTCTTGCGTGGTGCAATCATCTGGGAAGGATGGAATTGAGCCTGTGCTACAGTCAGGCCCACTGCCTCCAAAGCAGATCAAACTGAATGCCAAGGTGAGCTGTTGTATTGGCACGACATCTGGAACTTTTTCCCAGTATTTTGATGAATTCTAGCCTTTGTGCCACAACCCCACATTCCCATTCATATGTCACCTCCATGGCCCCACACAATTGCAGCCAACCTCTGTCTCTCTTCTGGCCCCAATGCCAACCAATACCCCTACCCATCAGCCTGTGCCCTTTCAACCTCCACGGCAATCTAATCAGTATCCATCATGAGTGCACTTCAGAAGCCATATCTTCAATGTGAGGAATGAAAGTACAATTACTGCTGGCAGCACTTACTGTGTCTATTGTTTTTCAGATACTCCGTTAATTTTTAGTAATAAACAGAAAATAACTGGTGAATTTCTTAGACAATATGATTCACAGTAAGTATAAAAGAGTTTTGAGAGAATGAATCAAAAGAAATGCACATTAAAAATGTTCTGTTTTTATTCCAAAATTATGCTCAGTCCATTTATTCACCCACAGTTTTAGTTGTTAGAAATAAAAAGATACAAAAGTTAAAACAGTCATTAACACAGTGTTAACAGCTTTATTCACAACAAAATTCTGCAGAACAGCCAAGTGTAAAGATATTTTGATCTTCTGCATCATTTGCCACAAACAAAATTTTTGGTTTATCTTCAGTAAAACGTAATTAAAATCTGATATGTGTTTTGTTTTAAGGTCTTCTTCAAATTAAATTTCCTCCTCAGTGCTGTCATATGGAATACATTCTACATAAGAAGAATGTGCCTTTAGAATTCACAGCATGTTGCTATGAGTTGAAATGAATTCACATTTCAGAGTACAAAACACACTTTTTTCTGAAATTTCAAAAATGTTTTTGTGCTATGATTTAAAAAAAACTAAATTGTAAATGGAACTTATTGACTTGCATTTCTGTTTAGAATCCTAAATATATCAGCAGTCTGGTTTTTGTCTTACCATTACTTTTCTGATGAGAAGCTCTTTTGATGTGCACGAATACAAATGCAGCAGCATAATTAACTTGACTCTGGAGAAAATTGAAAGTCAAGAGCTGTACAAATTTCATGAAATAACTTGAGCTGAAAAGTGTCCTGCACGTTCAAAAACTATTTCTTAATGAGTTTAATGTTAAGAGGCAATGAATGGTTCACATTTTTATAGTAACAAACACTACCTGTGTTTGCACTTTGAATAACATTAAACATAGATATAAATACAGTGCATGAATATTTTAAAAATATATTCCTAATGTATATAAACTTAATGAAAGTTCACAAAATTGTTTACTACTTCACTGGATACAGTGCATGGAAATTCTTACATACATAAAATGGAACTCTGAGGGGCATACATTTGCTTTGTGCATAATTCAGAGAAATTGGAACATCACTAATGAAGTTTACACACTACAAAAGCAGCAGTTAATGAATATCCAAATATTCTTTTATGCAATGATAGGTGTGCCAACTGTTGACATCTGAGTACAAAACAAACTTTTTCCTGAAGATCTACAATAGTAGTGTATCTGTTTAATTTGTGTTCAGATAAAAATATTCTAAATTGTAAATATATCTATTGCCTTGTATTTCTGAATCAAGCAAAGGAACATTTAACCTTATCACTACATTGAAATTGTTTAAGATGCATCCTTGCTTTTAAGTGTAATATTTATAATCAAGTTCAACACACAATTTGAACATAAGGGAATACTACCAAATGCGAACAAAATTAAAATGATCACTAATTACAAAAATAATAAAGGCAACTCCTGGGAAACAGAAACCAGCATGCCAATGCACCAACATTGCAATGAATAATTCAGTCAAGGAAAATACCTAAAAAAAACTGCCAGATTTAAGTATTCTTTTGAAGCATCAACATTAATTAGAAGTGATTGGTTAACTTTGGTAGTGGTGCGAGATATGGTGAGGATGTGGTATTGGAGGTGGTGGGAGACAAGGGGGTTGATTCGATTGGTTCTTTTTGTATGTTGTGTTGAGAAAGGCTAATTCTGCAGTCATTAATGCTATGACCACCCAAAATTGTGTGTGCCGAAAAAGAAAATAAACACGGAAAGAATGAAGGGCTTTTCAATAAAGCCTCTAGTGGAATATAAATTTAATACCCCTTCTAACTCAAATAATTCTGGTGAGTTGTATATGAAGCTTAAGCTGCATTACTTCAGGTCAATCATTACTAGATATTGTGTAATATGAATCACAGAAGTATACAGACACACATTGTGACCATATTTAAACAATCCTACATACACTATGCTTTGTAATTTCTTTGTACTTGTACTTTATGATACAGCCCTAAACGTTTATATTTAACCAACTTGTTTTTCTCATCCACAATCTTATGGTCAGGGTAATAACAAGCAACTGTGACTCTGGAGTAAGAAGTAGCTAGTGTGGACTAGGTATATACGCAAGTCATACAGGTGTTACAGGAATCATGTTTGAGAGCATGATCAGGCAGTAGAAGATGTTCTCTAGTGTGACATGGGGATATTCTCCGTAGAAACAGTGAAGTCTGAGTATGTAAGTACTCAGTATCTGTCACCTCCACCAAAATCCCAACCCACTGGAGGACAAGGTTTTGGCCTCTATCCCACAGACTCTGTAATGTGTGCATGGTACTATATAAATAATTGCATAGGAATATAAGTACAGTGTAAAGTATTTTTCCATATGAAGCTTGTAATGTTGGGGAGGAATTAGTTTAACTTTTCATGTTCTGGGGAAATGGAGTAGAAGAGCAGTTCAACTGCAGTTGCTCTATTTTTTGCTTTGTTCCCACCAATCCCTGATTTTACCATCACTGATAATGATGCTGAAAGAGGTATCTAATGGATTCAGGCAGAAACTACCTGCATGAATGATAACCAGGGTCCTAAAAGGTTAGCAAGCTGGGCATTTAAAGTGGGATTTATGTGAAGAAGCAGCTTTCACAGCAAGTGGAAAACCCCAAAGTACAGTTAATATTTTCAATGTTCACTTTTCAAGTCCAACGACCCTTCTTCAGACTTAGTTCTCTCCAAAAATGCTGCATACCTTCTGAGTTTCTCTAGCATTTTGTTTTCTTTTCAGATTGCCAGCATCCACAGTTCTTTATATTATTATGGTTTTCAAAGTTGCAGTCTGTGCCCCCTTCCTTTCCGTAAGACCTTAATGAAATCACCCTGTTACTGTGTGCCTGCAAACATTCCTGCACCCGACTGCAGCCTAACCTTTTGGTGCCTCCAACATCCAACCCTTCATAACTTTGAAATACCTTTCACGTCCTTACTGTCTTTCTCCTGCACTTGCAGATGCCACGTGTTTGCCAATGTTATTCCAATTTACAGAATAAATTGGGTCAATGAGCACTCGTAATTTATGGAAAGTAAAATCAGCATGATAAAAGCATATACTAAGAGAGTGACACTTCACAATTTTAGTGGAAAATCTAAAAGAAAATTGAGTGAGAAATTAGTCAGTCAACCAGAGTACAACCTGTGCGTGACTGAAATGTTCCTGAATCGTTTGGCCCAAAGGTTGTGAGCCTTGGGCCTCATTTAATTGTTGTGCCAAGCTTCAATGTCTGACAAGTGTCTAGACACAGTAAACCAGTCACTGAAAAGTTTGGGTCTCTGTTAAACCTTTGCAATGGAAGAAGATGACACAAAGGTAGGTTTAAAATGATTGACCTAACTTTTTGCCAGTAGTCTCCAATAGTACCTTTAATGGCTACTAACTGCATAATAGAATTTCCAGCAGAACAGACCCAATTTTAAAATTGTTGAATGCTGACAGGTTTCATGGAAATGTTCATGAAATAATCATTGGGTATCTCACTAGAACAGTCAAGGGGCTAACACATTTTAAAAATTCAAAACAATATTTCCATTTCTCCTAAGGCACAGAAAGCTATGCCATAAAATTAGGTTTTCTTTGTCTGCAAAAGCTGCCTGAATGACAGGACAAACCTCTCCTTCAATAAGTTGTTGTGACATAAAAGCAGTGGCTTACAATCCAGTTTTGGATTTTGCCAATCTGGGAAAACCCACATTGGGCAGATAAAATTGTATTTTTCACCCAAGTCCTGTCTACTCCCATTTTGATCAGTGCTGGACATGTGGCAAGTGACAACCCAACACTCACTCAGAGTGATGTCAGCATCAACCTTTTAAATGTCTGCTGAAATGAGAATTTCCTAGAGATTATATCTTCAGTGAGGTGGGTAGGATTTTGAAGCCTTTGTTAAACATATCAGATCAGTCAGGTTGTGAGTCTTGGGGAAGCCTGTAATGAAGTTGGAAACCTTTTGACAATTAGTTTAACAGCCCTCGACAACTTCAAACACAATGATGCAATGGTGTATGAAATTTATTATATTTTTTAATGCAGTGTTTTTTTTTTCCTAGAACTGTATCTTTAGAAGAGATGTGACCATTAAATTGATCAGCATTCAGATGCTTTCAAGTACATTACCCAGTAGTTAAAATGCCCTTCTACGTTCAAAAGTTTTGGAAATCGATTTTATTGTGTCATCTGGACAATGTGCTTTGATATTTACATTGATTTAAAGCTGAGACATTTGTTGAGTCTTTGTAATTGGTGAACAAATTTCTTTGGTGGAAACATTATCCTTTCAAAAAAATGAGTAAATCACTGACCATCTGGTCGGTTGACTACAAAGAACCAACTGTATTGAGCTGTGGAATTTTTGTTTATTCAGTTGCCCAATAGAATTTTATTATGAATGCATGGCTAAGCTCAAATCCATAGCAAATAGATTTAGGTCAGCAGGAGTTGTTTACACAGCTGTGAAGAGTGCTTGGGACTTCTTTTAGATAAGAAAATAAAAAGATAAACAAACAAGCTTTCAAAAGTGTTTATCCTGACAGATTTATGAGCATTTTAGAGTAGAGAATACTTCCAAATTATAGTTCCTGTTCTGAATTTCTAAGATAAGTAAGTCTTCAAATACAGTTTGAATGGATTTTCTTTCAAATTTCATGATCGTTTTAAAGACTTTCCAGTGTTATTAGAAGGCTCATCAGTTGTGTCAATAGTAGAAAAAGTGGGAACATGAAGGGGGCACAAGAGATATGACAGAGTATGGTGGGTCATGAGGAGTTTGGAGGGGATATGAGTGTATGGAAGAGATATGGGACATATAAAGAAATGTGGAGAGTGCATGGGCGGTTGGTTTGGGGGTGCGTTGGTGAACGAAGGCTATCAGGCCTAATGGATATCCATAGATTGGGTTAATGTTCAGTGAATGAAGATGGCCTTTGATCATGCTGGTTTGTTCTTACCCTAGGACTGCTAAGGGATGCAGTGGCCCTGACTCCAGTCCTCAAACCCTAACTCCACAGGGTGAAAATAATAGACGCGAGCACATTCTCTTAGATGTCAGGAACACAATATCAGCAAATGGCTGAGCTCGTGATTCTGAAACCTATGATGAAAATCTAGCCCATATAGCCAGAAAAATCAGTGACTCCAAATAAACCTACCATTAAACATTATACTTGCATTAATTCTAATCAATGTGTATGAAAGAAATAATTGAAGATTTGGAGGTGGGACATATGAATAACATAAGTACGGTTTTCTTTGATAAACCCCATCAAGGCATGAGAAAACTGTTGATTACAAAATGAAATACTTGAAGCCATTGGGTTATCAGGTTTGTGCAAAAAACAAGCAGTTGAAAAGGACAGTTCAAATGGATTATACTATACTAAAACTACATCTTTCAGGAGCATAATAGAGAGAAGTTATTTACCAGAGAGAATGCCCATCAAACATAACATTTTTAAGACATTTTTAAGTTACTTTACAATTATCACCTTGGCACAGACATATACTCTCCCTTTTCCCAACCAGGATGGAGGATAAATGTTGCAGAATGATCCATTATTCCATACTGCATTAACTCATTTGTTGAAATATAAAAGATTTTACAGTTTATCAAAATTTAGACCAAATATAAAGATCTGTTATATTTGAATAATTTACTAATACAATGCAATAATCAGATTGCTGTGAAATACAATGGCCAAAAGAAAAGATCTTGAGACAGAAGTCACAGAATTTCATGCACCTTGTAAGTTCAACAGGAGTAAAGCCCAAACATTGCAAAGTCCTGCAACAAGCTTTGAGCTAGCAGTGGCATCAGCAACAGAAACTCTTGCTTTCACCTTTAGCCAAGTTGAGGAGCAAGACTCACAAGCCCCCTCCACTGCGGTGCACAGGAATAGGATCTTCACTAATCAGATTCTCTTCCGCAGATTTCATCAAAAAAGCCAATCGGCTTCCAGATATTGCACCATCCTGGATTGCACTCATCAACTGGAATGAAAAGGAGTTAAGGGAAATCTTTTAACAGGAATTCAAATTACTGATCACATTGTATATTTTATCTGTTGATAAGTTAATAAACAATGTGGTTCTATGGCAAGCTCAAAATCTTGTATTCTTGCTGAAATTAAGTTGAATTGTTAGGACTGCATTATTTGTTAATAAATACATTGTAACATGAACAAGAATCAGTCATTTGGCCCATTTATACTTCTCTGCCATTCAATAAGAAGGCTAATTTAGTTCTGACCTTAACTTCACTATTCTGTCCATCTACACCAATTACCCTTGATTCCCTTGTAGATCAAAAATTTGTCTAAACCAGCATGAATATATTCAATGATGCAGCCTCCACAGTCCTCTATAGAAGAGAATTCCTAAGACTAATGTCACTGAGAGAAGAAATTCTTCCTCATCTTTGTCTTATATGAGAAACCATTTATTTTTCAAACAATGTCCCGAGTTCTTGATTCCCCAAAGAAAAGAAACATCCTCTCAGCATCTACCGTGTCAAGACCCCTTAGAATCTTATCTTTCACGAAATCATCTCACATTCTTCTAAACTCTGATGAGTATAGACCCAGCATCCTCAACATTTCCCATAGGAAACCATTCATCCCAGGAATCAGTCTTGTGAACCTCCTTTGAAATGTTTCTGTAAGATTTATTCTCCTTAGACAAAGGTGTAGTGCACTTAAGGCGATCTCTGGTATGCAGATATCATGCTTTTTGGCAAGGAATCTTATTCTAAATTTGATTCAGGGCATGCTTGTCCATTCTTTTGACTCTACACTGATTAAGGCTGTCTCCCATTCAACTTCAGGGTGCAGGAGGTATTCAAATCAGAGTGAGAGGGAAAACGTAAGCTTTAATTCAGTAAAATGAGAGAGATCATTGATTCTTTGTATGATATTCATTCTTCTTTCCTAAATAGAGATGCTTGTGTTGCTTTGAATCTCTTCATGGTGTGCTGAATCAATCACTACTGCAGAAACTCCATCCCTAGGACCACAAGAGGATCATGCAGATCTTTCATTTCTCTAAGAAGTGGCCAGAAGCAGTGGGGCAACATGCCACCAAGAATGAAGGTAGTTTACCAAAGGAGAATATTCTACCCCTTGATTTGCTCTTACAGGAAAGAGTAGAAGAGAATGAAACTGCAACTGATGATTTGTTGTAAGAAAAGGTCTTACAATGTCTGTGTCATTTGATGACAGTAGCAATGTTGCTGAAGTCTTGGTTGTCTCTTTTGAACAGAAGAATCAGTTTCTTGTTAGAGCAGTTGATAAAGAAATGAATTTGTCTGCTTATTCCACTGAATTTACCAATGATTTAGAACAACAACAACCACATCATCTGGATAAAAGCCAGAAATAGAGAAAGAGACTGATTTCCTGAAGTCACCACTACTACCAGCTGTGACTCAGCAGCTGCTAGAGTTGGACAAGACATCAGCAAAATCATGGGACACTCAACTGAAGGTAAAGAAGCTGTCAGTGTTGCAGGCTGGCTGGAACAAACATGCACCAATTACAGAAGGGGAGGTGGGAGCATGGCAACTGGTGGAATTTAAATTCAATTAATCAATCTAGTTTTAGTATGGCGACCATGAAAGCAATCACTGATTGTTGTAAAAACCCATTGCAGAAGAAATCTGCCATTCCCACTTGGTCTGGCCTAAATATGACTGCAGACCCACAACAATGTGGTTGACTCTTAAGAGCTGATGGGCAAAAAACGGTGGCCTTGCTAGCGATATCACATCCCATAAAAGAATAAAAGAAAAAGTCTTCAGACTTAAAGTAATAGCAGCTAAAGAGGATCTTATGGTAGATTGAATCACAAATGTATGGCAGCAAAGAACAATCAGAATCAAGAACAGTTGCTAGAAAATCTTGGATGATGGAATTATAAAGGATTCTCAGTCATGATCAAGGAGGTCTCAGAACTTTGAAATAGACTCATAACTATAAAGGGTTTGGGGAAATACAGATAATCTCCAATCTACTCAAAGAAATTAACTAAAGCTTACAGCAATGAACAAAGAATATCAAGATCAACTTGATACTTTGAAAAGAAATCCTTAAACTATGTAAACATGCCACCAAAAGGTAGCTCAACAACTGAAAGCAGCCAATGAAAAGCTATTCAAGGAGAATTAGATGTTAATTCAAAAGTGGATCAAGTCAATATTTAAAGGTCAGAGGTTATTTATCTGTACAAATGAGTAAAGCCGATGATGCCCAAACTGCAGAACTTCTAGAGTTGAGGACTAGCCTACAAAAATGTAAAGCTGCGCATCAAAGGAGCTCAAAAGTAGTAAATTTAAACAAAAGTTAGATAATTCTCATTACTTAAAAGAGACTGCTGAACTACGAATATATCTACTGGTAGTCACACAATACTATAAGGACACATAGAGGGATTCACACATTGAAACTGGTACAACAAAAGATAGTGAGCATGTTACCATAAGGCCGTAAGAAACAGGAGTAGGTCATTCGCCCACTTGAGCCTGCTCCACCATTCAACAGGATCATGGCTGATCCAACATTCCTTGCATCCACTTTCCTGCCCTTTCTCCACAACCCTTGATTCCCCTACTGACCAAGAATCTACTATCTATCTATCTCAGCCTTAAATATTTACAAGGACTCTGTCCCACAGCTCTCTATAGTAAGGAGTTCCAAAGACACACAATCTTCTAAGAAAATAATTTCCTCCTCACCTCAGTCTTTAATTGGTGTCCCTTTATTCTGAAACACTGCCCTCTGATTGTAGACTCTACCATGAGGGGAAACATCCTCTCAGCATTTACCCTGTCAAGCCCCTTAAGAATCCTAAATGTTTCAATGAGATGTGTCTGACTCTTCTAAACTTCATTGAGTAGCATCCCAAACTTAGCCTTTGCTCATAAGCCAATCCCTCCATACCAGGGACCATCCTTGTGAACCATCTCTAAATTGCGTGATGAAATATCTTTCTTTGAACAAAGGGTCTAAAACTGCTCACAGTACTCAAGGTGTGTTCTCACAATATTGTTGTAGAGTTGCAGTACAATAATGTGCAATTGCTATACCACATCTGATGAGGTTATAGGAACATAAGACAAATGTGGATACAGATCAACTATCTGAAGAATCACTCACAATAGCTATCCTTCCCACTGCCAATGAGCCTCCTCTAGAGAAACTGCCAGATGCTAATGTTGAACGTCCAAGCTAGTCTGCAGATCAGAATACAATGCATGAACTTTCTACACGTGTCAAACCTTATACAGGCATCCACAAGGGGTCCATTTCCTCAAAACTTTAAGTTTGTTCTGCTGGTAATGATGGTACAATCCTATTTTTTGATAAAGTTCCTGGGGATGTAATGGTCGACAGAGGGGAATCCATAAGCTGAAGCAAATGTGGCAGTATTAGTGCTGCCTATGGAAAGAGAATTCCTTACCCTAAACGCATTATCTATTTATTCCTTTTCACAATCGTCTTTTCATCAATTGATTCATTCCTAGAGACGGTGTTGAATAGCTTTTTCATTGTCAAGGCAAGGTTCTTGATAGGAGTTGGAAGTGCTTTGTTTTTTCAAGCCAGGGCTTTAACCCTTCCCCAGTGTGCAATGCAGAAGAACATATGAATGAGCAGAGATAGTAGGAACTGCAGATGCTGGAAAATCCGAGACAACAAGGTGTAGAGCTGGATGAACACAGCAGGCCAAGCAGCATCATAGGAGCAGGAAGGCTGACGTTTCGGGCCTAGACCCTTCATCAGAAGGTTTTTTCTGATGA